AAATTATAATAAGTTATAGTAAGTTATAGTAAGCTATAATAAGTTATAATAAGTTATGATAAGTTACAGTAAGTTATAACAAGTTGCAGTAAGTTACAATAAGTTGCAGCAAGTTGTAACTTGTGATAAGTTGTGGCAAGTTGCAATTTTTATTAAATTTTTTAATAAGTTACAATATATAGTTGCAATATAAGTGTTGCAACATAGTAATTGTAGCTATCATCTTTAATCTTAATATTATAAATTATATAATCATAATAATAATAAGATAAGTAATATATATATATATTAATAATAATAATATTAAAATACTTATTATAATAGGAATTTCTATTTCTCTTATTAAAATCTAAGAATATAATTTAATTAATAAAAATATATATATTTTAATACTAACTTCATTATTATTTTTCTATTATATAAGATATGAAGTTATATTTTTTATTTCTTGAGATTAAGAAATTTTTTATTTTGTAATTGAGAAAAGACAGCTTGAAGTTGTGAAATAGATTGAGCTTATATGAATATTATAATACTTTTTACCAGATTTTCAATTATATTTTAATCATATCTATATTATCTATTATATAAGAATCTTAGATTATAAACAAAAGATGACTGGATGAGAATTGGGATTGTATTGCCCTAATATTAATTCAGTTTTTTGTCTTTTAATTTATTCTAATTTTGGTAATAAAATAGAAATTGAATTTTCAAGATCAATATATCTTACTTTTAATTTATTATTAGAAAAAAAATCTTGAAAGAATTATTATCTAACTATTTCTTCTCAATTTAATAAAAAGAGCTTGATTTAAGAAATGATTTCATCCAAAGAAGAAAAGCATATGACTGAAATTTCAGTGAACTATTTTGATGAAAAGTTTGCTAAAAATTATTAATCAATAATTTATTTTAAACAAGTAATAAGAAAGATCATGTTATTTTATTTTTTATATCAAAAAGCAAAATATTACTAAATTTGACCAGTTTGTACCAGAAAGCTTGTGATGTGAAAAAGCAAGTTAATCAAGATCAAATTATTATTATATTATAGAATTTGACAACCCGGTTAGAGATCTTATGGAATCTGACAATATTGGAGAGAAAAAAGCAAAAGGGCAGATTTATAATTTTATTATTGCACAACTAAATGCCAAGCATAAAACTTTACAAAATCAAACTTAGAAAGCCAGAAAGGTTTATAATTTATTCGAAAAAATAGGAATTGATAAGATTCAATACATCAAAACATATAGTGCGGATACTATTTCAAAATTTACTCATTCTCAGATTCAAACGATTATAGATCACTTCACCAAAAAATCTGATTTAGAATTTATCGATGAAGAGGATAATTCTCCAGATAATTTATCCGAAACTGAGATAAGTATACCTACTGAATCGATTCCTTTAGATTCATTCCAAGAAAATAGGACAAAGGCTCGAAACTCTGCTTTCTCGAAATTACCAGAAGCTGAAGTAAGTATATCTAAATCTAGCCACCTTGTGACTGCCTCTGACAATAAACCTCGACCTACAATCTCTAATTTACCCGATGAACCGGAAGAGAATCAAAAATCTGTTATTAATAAAGTACTAGAGCAGTTCCCTTATTTATCTTTGAAATATAGTAATGAATATGGCAATTACTTTACTTGTTCGGAAATATGTCCAGTGTGTAATAAAGATCATAAAAAAGAAAATATAAAATATAATGTAGAAGGTATATGGGTAGTGGTGATTATGTCAATACAAGAACTTATCGCCTCAGATGCTGGGGAAATAAATATCAGAATTCAATCCAAATAGTAACTATAGAAGCATAGATTAACTTATGTAATAGCATACGCATATATGTATATGATTACTATGTAATCGGCTTCGGTAATAAATTGTTTTTTCATCGCGTTATGCTACGAGAAGTCAATATCTAATTTGAATTAATTTACGATCATGTAAAACGTTAATATGGAAGAGCAGAGCACAGAATCAAAAACTCATAAAACATTAACTCCTGAATATTTGGAGTGGCAAGCTAAAATTACTGTATCGATAGATGAGGTTCGTCCTAAGTTGTATAGAGCGTATACAAAAGAGACTGGGCTCGATCCCTGGAAAAACGTTAACGTGAATAAAGACTTAACCCCAGAATATTTGGAGTGGCATGCTAATTTGATCGGATTGCCAAGTATTTTAACAGATAAGTTTCGTTCTAGGTTATATAAAAGATATAAGAAAAGAACTGGACTCGATCCCTGGATAAACTCTGAAACTTCTGAATCTTCACAAACCGAAATTGATGAATTAGATTCGAAGATTACAAACTTGAAAAAGAAAACATCAAAATTAAAGGTGAGAACGTGGAGTTAAAACGGGGCATAGATGAACTTAAAAAAGAACTAGAATTTAAGAAAAATTGCAAATTTCAGGAGAAATGCATCCTAATAGCTCGAGTATTGCTTGGAGAGGAACCCGTAGTCGAATATCGTCCATCGTTTATGGAGGGATTAGAACTTGATGCCTTCTTCCGAAGTAATCGAATTGCGTTAGAAGTACAAGGGGCTCAACATCGGCTTCATAACACTAGCTGGTATAAGGATGTTAAAAAAAACTCGAAGACATTGTTAATCGTGATCGGAAGAAAAGATGCATGTGTCAAGATAATGGAATTTTCTTACTTGAGGTATGGTATGATGAGAAACCGGAAATTGTTATTCCTAAAAGGATACAAAAAATTAAGGGTTTTGTTAATCAAACTTTGATAAGTGACGATATATCTTAACTCCTGAAATTATGATTGGTTGATAAATTAACTGTTAATCTCTCTATGACGTAATTGCACTGATAGAAACTTTTAGAAGGATTGCAATAAAGAAAAATTTTTACTGGTTAATAAGTCCGATAAGTCACGTATGATTTTAACTAAATTAATCTCTCTATGATGTAATTTGATATAATGTAAATATAAACAGTCACATGCTATAAAAATTAGTTTGACCAGACTAACATCTCGGCAATTGAATTTTCTTCATTCACATCATTCAAACACTATGCCTCCCTCATTGCAGAACGAATTATTCTCTAAATGGTCCTCGGCCTTTGATTCAGCAAGACATAAGCTTCTTGCTATCAAACGACAAGAAGGTTTTGAGGAAGTAAAACGAAAGGGAATCACTATTGACAAAGAAGTATCACGTAGACTCTATCTTGAATTCTGTGAAGGAGAACCAAAAGTTTCGGTTAATCACCGTTTGATCGATGGAAAAATCGAAGCTTACGAAATGCCTCTCGACCCTCACTCAGCGGTACAAGGAGAATTGACTTATATAATAAGGAGCTGGAGTAGTCGGTTGCGAGTCCATGGTGAAATGGATATTATTGTGGGTACAGGAAGTGTATATCGTCCTGATATTTGTGTTCGGCCATTGAATCGTCATCAACCTCAATCCTCAAGAGCAGTCAATTCATCAGGAAATCCATATCCTACTCTGGTGGTTGAGATTGGCAATACTGAAAGTTTAAACAGTTTACACGAATTGGCAGAAAAATATTTTTCTCAACGGACAACTATCCAAATTTATTTAGCAATCAAATTGTACCCACCTCGACGGAACAATACTTTTGCGCTTCTTGCGATGCTTTACTTACGTAATAATCAAAATCCCACAACACCTGTAGTTGTTAAATCATTCGGAACAGCACCTCTCTCTGATCATTCACGAATATATCTTCAAAGTATCGAACGGGATGAATTCATCAATGGTGTTGGGTTTGGAGAGGCACCTTGTGATGGTGCTAATATTGGTGAATATCAACTAGCCATCCCTACCAACTTACTTTTTAACGATGTTCCTGGCGGTGTTCCTGGTGGCGTACCTAATAACTTTATAGTAGATCTATGGAGTTTACAAGATGCAATTCTGAATAATTAGATGCGTGGGCGAAATTTTACTTTTGCATATCGTACAGTAATTTCAGCGGGCCAATGATTATTTTTGTATATTAAACTTTGAGGATGTATCTATTAATGCTTTTACTGGGATTTTTCCTTCGACAAGACAATTTATGAACATATTAAGTATATTTAATGATGTATATTATCGGAAAAAAAATAACTAATGTTTAGATAATTAATTTTAGGTACATACAGTCAACCGCAAAAGTATCCTAACTTTCCATAGATCATGTGTAATGCACCAAATTTTTTCGAGCAACAAAAGAACATTACAAATGCTGATCATGATATCTTTTATAAATTGGTAGAGCTTTTTATATCGGGTATTGTATGTTCTTAAACTTTCATGCCCAAATACGAGTATATCTATGTGCTCCCAAATTCATTTTGGTTAGATTTATTTTTATGATCTGCATTGCCTTATCTAGCATGTTTAGTATATATCCATTGTATCACTTGATATGCATATGCATAATAATAATTCTTGCAAATTTTTAAATTCTTTACATTACATAATATAGCTTTTGTCATAGCTAATATATTACTTTATGTACTATTACTATAGTGATAATATATAATAATTTTGGACTTTATTTGCTATTATCTTGAATAATGATTTTCTTCTTATGAGTTTTACAATTTTGTTTTATCATTATTATTATTCTATTTTCACAAATTTTTTTCTTTAAAATTAGACTTTAAGTTTTTTAGATCATCTATTATGTATTAGATCTTGTTAATAAGTTTTTGATAATTATTCTTGTATCTGAATTTACTTTGTTAATATTTTTATTAGTATTTTATATTTTAATTTCTTGCAATTTCTTTCAGTTAAATTTTTGGTTAGATAAGTAATTTATTTCTTTTTGTAAGTGAAAAGTTTATTATATTTGGCTATTATTAGAGATGGGAGCCGCAACTAGCCGCAACTCTGTCGCAATTCTCTGATTGGCTGCCGCAACTCTGTCGTAATTCTCTGATTGGCTGCCGCAAGCTGTAATTAGTTGAGGAGCCATCTTTAGCTATTATCAGTTATTATTTTCAGTCTTTAATATTATTCTTATTATAATTATCATCTAATTATTACGTATTTTGTGTATTTAATATTTAATCTTATATTTTATTTATAATACTTTAAGTTAATTATATTTATTATTATCAAATAATTTTAATTACAAATAATTTAATTATGAAAATATATTTTTATTATATATATATATATAAAAAAAAACTTTATTTAAAGTAATTATTATAAGAAATTATAAGAGAAATCAAGAACAAAACAAAAAAATAAAATATATAATTGAAATTAATATTTTTATTTTTTAATATGATAATAGATTCTATTTATTTTAAAATTAAAAATAATATATTCATCACATAAAGGAATAATAAATTTTCTTTTCATTTCTATATCTATAATTACTTTTAAGAAATAATATCAGAAATCTCTTCAGACTTATTCATCTTCTAAGTAAAAATAACATATAAAAATAATACTGAATAGAACTTATAGCATATTGCAAAAATATACTTGCATATAATTCTATAAAATTTAAAGTCTAAACAAGTATATTAAAAATAAATTAGTTTAATATTATCACTTTTTTATATATATTCTTTTATATTAACTTTGTGATTATTGATTAATGATTTTACAAGATAATATTAACTGTTAGATATAATAAAGATATCTGTATTCAAGTCAAAATTAGCAAGTTCTTAATACTATTACTCTTTTTATTATAATTTTATCCTTTTAATCATCAAATAAATAACTTTGCACTTGAATTCTGTATTTTTAAAGCAGCTTGTAAAATCTAAATTAGAGTATTAATTTGATGATTATGTTTAGCTTCTAGATATATATATTTAAACTTTTTATATCAAGGCTTAATAAAATTTATTATATTCATTTTTTGATACTTATATAATTAATAAGTATCAATTTATTTCTTATAATTTTCTTAATATTCTCTTTTAATATATTTAAACTATTTTGCTTTATCAAAAATTATTTACTGAGTAAAATACTTAACAAATTTATTTTATACTTGGGAAGTATTCTGAATTTATATTATGATATCAAGTTTATTTAATATTATTTTTTATATTACTTATTTTTTTGATTATTTGAGAATATCATTATTAATATTTTCTTCTTGAGTTTTGAAATAGTTACTATTTATTTTAATTTTATTCTTTTTTTTGTCAGATATTTTTTATATGCCATTAATAAAGCAAGATTCTAATATTAGAAAATACTGTATTAATAGTATTTTATTATATATTATTATAATTAGTAAAAAAAGATATGAAACTTCTATTCTTTTTTATAGCTTTGAGTCAAAAAATTAATATTTTTTCTGCTTTTTTCTCTAATATTAAATATGTTATAAATACATCTTATCCATTTTTATCATTTTATATTAATAAAGTAAAGAAATTTATTTTATATAATAATATTCTATGTATTTTATTCAAATATACTATTTGCATATTTTTTGATTTTAATATTTTTTTTGAAACTCAATCTGAAATTTGTACATATAATCTAAGAGTGATCTTTAAATTAAGTTGCTATAGGTATAAGATTCATCTTATTATAATAAGATAATCCATTCTTTAATAAATATATTCTCATTATAATTTTCTTTTTTATCATCTAAAAAAATCATGTCTTTTATTTTTTCATAAATAATATTATATATATTAATATAGAAAAGATATATATTATATTTTTATATTAAAATCAAGAAGCTTAAATTATTCATATTTCAAAGTTAATTAATTTGCTAATAAAATATTAATATAATTTAAATAAATTTTATTTTATTTTTTATTCTTGCATAGATTTATTTTTTTATCTATTAAAATAATTGAAAATATTATAAATTTTTATTAATACTAGGAATATATTCATTATAAAGTATATAATAAATAATATAAATAGCATTTTTCTTATTATTATAATATTTTAATACTTACAGATAAGATTTATATCCTAATTTTTTGGATAATTTTTGAGTAAGATAGGATTGATTGTGATATAATAAAGATTTAGTAGCTTGTTTTATTATATTAGCTATAAATTTAGATTTTTCAGAATAATAATAAAGATATCTCTTATTTAATTTATATCCTAACTTCTTTCAGTTATCTTTATAAAAATAGTAAGTATCAGAAATATTTGGAAAAATATTTTTGATCTAATTCTTATATATATTTAATTGAAGGTGAGTATAAACTATTTACATAATTATTTAAATCTATTTCTTGAAATATATTATTATTTATTTCTTTTTCTTTTAATTCAGATTCTAATCTAATAAAAAATAATTAATTAGTATATTTAATAGTTTTACTAGTCAAGTTAATGAATAGATAGTTAATAAATATAATTTAATTTTGATTAATAAATATATTTGAATTAAAGAATATGATGTATATTAATAAATAATTTTATAATTATTTTTTTATAATAATATATTTGAAAAGAAATTTTTATATTTGAATATTTTGTATACTAGATATTTTTACAAAGTCAAAAAGATATAATAATAATATTATTATTAAATATTTTTTATATATCTAAAATTAATATGTTAATTTTTTATTATTTTATATAAGTATAATTTTTTTAATCAGTCTTTATATATTAAAATAATTTTCTTAATTATTAAGAATGATATATATATATATTAAGTATATTTTCATATACTAAAAACTTTCTTTTATCTTATTAATCAGAATTTATTAATTAATCAATCATATTATATTATTATTCATAAGATTTTTTATATATAATAACTTATATAAGAAATATAATACTGAAAAAAATAGTAAAATATAAATATTTTATCATAAAGAAAACTTGAATAACTAAAAATTAAGTATAATAATTTATCAATATCTTTAATATTAATATTATCAATATTTATCTTTTAATTAGTGATACATTAATTTTTTTATCTTTTTTTAGTATTATATTTATTATAATTAAACTGAAAAATAATATTAAAAGATGAATTTCTAACTAAGATAAGTAATAAATTATTAAGAATTTTTTACATTATATATTTCTAATCATATTTAATAATTTATATAATTATTCTTTACTTTTATTATCTTACTAATTCTTTTTGATATAGACTTATATAATTTAAAATAATTAAAGATCTATACTCTTTCATATCACTTGTAATTTTTCTCAAAACTCTTCTGTAATTGAAAGTAATTTAGAAAGTTATTTTATATATATATTTATCTTATTTATATAAATATTTATATTTATTTTTTTTATAATTTTTTATAATTTTATCAGTAAATTTAATAGATATTAGATTAGCAGTGATCAGTAAATATGCTATTTATTATTAATTTTTTGATTATATATAGTCACTTTTAATAAATCAGACTTATTAGGATGAAAATTTTGTCCAACTTATTGCAAAATCCAACTTATCAAATTTTATAATATTTTATTAAAAAAAATTACTTTTTATTTAAATATAAGTAATAGACAAATATCAAATATTTAATAATAATAAAAATATTATATACAAATTCATTTTTTTACAAAATTTTCTAAAATAAGCTATTTTAAAGAAGCATTTTACTTTCTTTTAATTTGATATTATAAGTCTTTCAATCCTAAGATTACAGATATATTTACTTTTATGTCAGGATTTTATTGTAAATAGTTAAATATAATTTGAATACTATTCAAAGCAAATATATTTGATACTATATTACATTCTTTCTCTTCCTCTTTCCTATCTTTTTCTTCTTCTGATATTTTTTGTATTGCAGTAATTATATTCTTTTTATTAATCATATTAATTATTTTTATTCTAGTATTAATATTAATATAATTACTTACTACAATATTATTCATATTTATTTGATATATAAGTAACTGAATTTCATTTTTTTTAACTTTTAATTTATTTTTTAATTCACTTTCTCCTTCACACA